ATTCTGGGAGGGTTCATAATCCTTCTCCTGGAAGAGTGAAAAAAATGGAGCCTCCACATTCAGTCGCAGTAGAGCTCTAGAGACAGACAACAACGAAATGCAGGGGGTTATTACCACCTTTCTGGCCTGCTTGGGAGCAATTGGGGTCAGGATCAGAAAAGGGGTTCCATTTTTGTGTATTCCTTGGGTGCATGTTGGTGTGCTTTGTGACAACACTACACAGCTACAAGGGGTGTCTGTTTCACATTTTGTCAGGTCTCTTCTTCTTGTGTGTGCGCGCTTTATGTCGTTCCTCCTTTCTGATGTGGGTCCTTGTGATTTTGGGGGTCTCCGCTGACCACACCTGCGCTGCCCCCTCCCCCCGTGGCCACGTGGCTTCTCCCCACCTCCCACCGTGGCCTCCCTCTGCTTCTCAGAGACATACCGCCCCTTATTCCAATTGCTTGCTGTGGAGTCTCCCACGGTTTCGTCTAATCCTTGCCTTTTCAGCCGCACAACAATCCAAGCTGAGAGGCGGCATCCACCCCAGTGAACGAGGATTTGAACCTGAGTCTTTCTGGGCCCGGTTCAGCCCTTGATCCACTCTGTCAAACTGCCGTCCGGTTTTGCACAGGTGTTGGTCTTCTACACAGTGTGTGTGTGTAGTTTTCTTCCGTGTGGGCTGCTCCATTTCACTGCCTCTCTCCACATTCTGAAGTGTGTGGCTTGGCCATAGTTATTCTCCCAGTTGATCCTCAGCTTGTGTTACACTCAAGTCTCTAGTCCTCTTGGTGCCCCTGCATAGGGTGTGCCTGGACTTCAAATTGTGCAGTCCCAGCACCTTAGATAGACATCGCCTCCTTCAGGCCATCAGTTCTCAGTCACCTTGTGTGTTCCTCAGCAGTGCTGGTGGGGCTCACATACCCTCAATCTATCATGTCCTTTGGGCAAAGGCAGTAGCTCAGTGCCAGAGCAGAAGGTCGCAGGTTCAATCCCTGGCCCCTCCAGGAAGATTTGGGAGACGTTCCCTGCCCAAAACCCCAGAGAGCTGCTGGAAATCAGTGTAGACTGTATGGAGCTAGATGGACCAATGGTCTGACTCAGGACAAAGCAGTTTCCTATGTAGCTAACACACACTACTGTGTAATCTTTGCTTGCCCTGGGCTGTGTGTATTCTACCAGCAAATGGAAGTTCCTTGGTCTACAAAGAGTACAAAGTAAGTCAAATGACGTTTCATGGCATTAACCTAGATTTCATCATTAGAGGTGTGCGTGTGCAAGCTTCGGGGTTCCACAGAGCTCTTTGGCAAGGCGATTCTGGGATAGGGAAATGATTCTCCATGCAGCGCCGAGATTTACTGATGGGATTGACTGCAGCAAGCTGTTGTGCTGGCCTTGGAAATGGGATTTTCCCAATGATTGCATCAACGGAAATTAGCCGGGAAAACAGCTAAGAGATCGTTACGCATTGGGGGGCAGCTGTGGTGGACAATTATAGGCCATCTCCCTCTGTCAGGCCAGGCTCATGAGCTGCCCAGCAACACCTGACAGGCCTCTGGACCAATCCGGAGGAGCCTTTCCATTCTAATGAACTCAGCCTGACAAAGCGTTCTGTGGCCCTCCGAAGCTTGCATACCCAGACCCTAACTGAGACAGTTCCAATTGCAGCTACAATTGACCTGCTTTTAGCCAGCTGTGCTACACGCCTCATCTCTTGGTCCTTGAACTCTTTAGACGTGGTGCCATTTGGATGTTTCTTGAGAACATTTGCCTCCTTGCAACAAACTTGGTGGGTTGCCAGACTCCCCTCTCTGCATGGGCTGGGGCTGCCCTGTTCCTGTTAGGTTTCCAAAAAAATCTCCCTCGTGTTGTTGAGTTAGGCAGAACCTTCAAAGCCAAAAGTGGTCCAAGTTCCAGAGGCAACTGAGCATCCGTACGTTCCACACCAGCACAGCCTCTAAGAGTAGCAGATTGTGGAATTGCCACAGCACTGAAACTGCCCCCAAACAAGTCTTTTCGTTCCAGACATGCTGATTCTCAGAAACTGCAACTGTCTTGTGTCTCTCGATGATAAACTGCTCTGATCCTGCCTCTGTTCGGTCAACAGAGCATAGGCTGAGTTCTGCAGTTGGATCAGGCCAAAGGCCCATCTATCCCAGAACCCTTTTCTCACAGTGGCTGGCTTGAAGTCTATATGGAAAACCCGCAAACACAACAGCCATCTCCCCGCCTGCCTTTTCCAGCAGCTGACATTCAGAGACTTCTCCTCCAGGAATTTGTCTAATCCTCTTTTAAAGCGATCCAATATGGCGGCCGTTGCTGCTTCATGTGGCAGTGGGTTCCACCGCTTATGCTCTGTGTGAAGAAGGAATTGCTTTTGTTGTCTGGAATCTGGTCCCGCTCAGCTTCCTTTGAGGACGCCCACGGGTTTCTACTCTTGTGGAAGAGGAAGAAAAAGCTCTCTTCCTTCGCTTTCTCCACACTGCGAAGAAGTTTGAACATCTCATATTCCTTGCTTGCCATTTCCCCCCCAAAACTATATTAAAAAAACCCCACCCAAATGTTGTAAGCTTTGCTCAGAGGGAAAGCGACATTGCTTAAGGAGGTGGGGACTGGGAAGCAGTTCTGGCCGTGTGCTCGGATCGTTCAGAGACACGACAATTTCCTCTTCACCCTGAGGAGTCGTGCCAGAACAGGGACTCATGCAGAAGAGGACAGAGGTGCTCCCCTGTTTTTCCCCTCAGACATTTTGCAGAACGAAGTGGGGCTATGCACCGGTCCCAGCTCTACTTCCTTGGGGTATCTGAATTTGGAGCAAGCATCCGAGCTCCTGGTCTCTGAGGGCCTGGTCCAGTGCTCTAACTGCTATGCACACTGCCGCACAAATGCACCCAAACCACACTGAGGCCTGAAATGAGTCGAGAGAGGCAGTGTGGATGAACCACAGTGTCGTTTGGTGTAATGGTTAGAGTGTTGAACTACAACTCGGGAGACCAGGGTTCAGACCTGCACTCTGCCGTGAAACTCGCTGGGTGACCTTGGCCATTCCCTTCCTCTCAGTCTCACCTACCTCGCAGGGCTGTTGTGGGGGTCAAATGAGGAGAACGATGCACACCGCCTTGAGAAAAAGGTGGGATATCAGTGCCATAAATTATACAAATAATCCGAGAGTGCCGTGGTACTTTAAATTCTTCGTCAGCCACTGTCGTGCTAGGAAGGGGTTTTGAACTGGGCGGAGATCTCTCTCTTGTACACCAAATCGGTGAGCAGTCAGCCATGTGGTACTGCACCCCCCCCCCCAAATACACAGACACCAAAATCTTCATGCATTTGGAAAAGCAGGACATGGGGGGAGGAGCCGAGCAGGAAGAAGAGGCAGCGAGCCAGGAAATGACATTTTTTCATGCAGCCGAGGTTCCCTTATCACAGAACCCGAGCGCTGGAGCAAAGCTCTGGTCCCCGGCACATTAATGCACATCGCAGCATCCGTAAAACCTTTTCCAGGAAATACTCAGTGGGCACAATTTCCCCTTCTTTCTTTTCTGCTGAGCCTGGCTGCGGTGCATCAGCGCAGGCTCCGAGCAAGCTTTGTTGGATCAGACCCAAGGCCTGCTTGGTCCAGCTTCCTGTTCCCCACAGCGGACAGCCGAGCATGACAGGGAGGCGACGGCACCCCTCTGCTGTTCTGTACCGTTCAGGGATAAACTGCTTCTAAATCTGGCCAGCTGGGATTTCTGTTTGCGCCTATCCCAGCTAATTCTGCATATGTTTTTTGTACATAACTGAATATACAGCCACCGAGTCTTCGTGTTGTTATGAGTGTGTGTGTGTGTGTTCCTTTTACAAATGCAAAAGTCTACGGCAGCCCTTGAAACTAGACCCACGGCGTCTGCTCAGATGTCCCTCCCCCCCCCCCCCCGTGGCTCTCTGCTCCTCCCCACACAGGCTGGAGCCTCTCGCTTTTGACCTGACTCAGGTCCCTAGTGGGAGCCAAACCAGCCGTCCAGGCCGCAGTGTAATAAATCAGGGCTGGAGCTGACTCAGCACCCTTTGGTCCCAGAAGCTCCCCTGCCAGTTTGGAACGTGTCAATATATATTTTCCTCCCAAAATTCTGCATCCAGAGCTGGAAGCAGGGCGGATGGTGAAGGGAGGGGGGCAGACTGGGGGAATGGGGCGGGAATCTCCATAACACCCCCCCCACACCCCGACTTGAGAACCTAGAAGCTTCTTTTCAGTGCCATTTTTCTGCTCAGACTTCTGAGCACGCACAGAGCGCCATCGTCGTTGCCAAATCCGCCCCAGGCGAAATGATGTGATTCTCACCCTCCCCACAGGCCACCACCTTCGTTTGACTCACAGCACCCCTTCCGTTTAGCACCCCCTCAGATTGGACCTCCGTCCCCCTCAGAGACTCTTATATGCAACTTCAACCTTCCTTTTTTTGGCAAAAAAGACCATTTTTTGATTGCCCACACCTCTGAAGAGCCCTGGCACTGCCCGAAACAGAACTTTGAGGCACTTGGACGAAAAATGCTTTCTCTGAACTTTTACCTCAGTTTGTTTTTTTGCTATGGGCTGGGGTTCCCAAAGGCATCTGCCTCGAAAGCTCAGCTGTGGGGAAGGATTTGAACAGAAGTGGAAAGGCCATTCTGACCGAGCAGGTGAAGAGCCCGTTTCTCTCACTGGCCAGGAATATATTTTGGGGGGACAGATTAGGTGGAAGATATTTCCAGATTGACACGAGTCCCCTTTTTCGCTAGATTCCAGAAACTGAGCTCTGCCATTCTGGCTCTGTGTAATTGACCGTTCGGCTTTCCCATGAATATCTGGATATTTTCCATTCCTCTCCTTTCTTATTGTCCTATTCCTTTGCTCGGACCTCTCCCAGTTCCATCCATTCTTTCCCACCCACCCAGCTCCCTGTTCCGTTAAGCAATCTCCTTCTGCTTGTGTCCGCCCGCCAATCTCTTCCCCTTCTGCCCTTCTTCCTTCGACCTCTTGACCCCATTCAGGACCCGCCATGTCGGAAGGGGTCGACTCTCAGCCCGTGGCCCTGGGCGCCAGCCGAGTGGAGCTCAGAGTTTCCTGCTGGAGCCTGTCAGAGCGAGAAGATGCCCTCAAACCCGACCCCTGCCTGGTCCTTCACCAGCTCAGCGCTGGACAATGGAGCGAGGTACGTGCGCCGCTTTCGACTGGGCTGATGACCTCTGAGGGTCGCTATTTTCTTTTCTTTTTAAAAATCATTTTTATTGATTAAAAAACATCCCGTTAATATATCCAATCATAATAATCCAAATAAAATAAAAGACTAAGATTAAAAAAAGACCAAATTATAATTATTGATTTTTCGGAGCTCCCCATAATCTGGACCTCTGAAGCATATCTCCACATCTCAGTTCTGCCTCTCCTTTTGTTGTTCCCATATTTTCCACATCTCGATTTTAACGCTTTAAAATTCTCCGTCCCTGGTTCCACGATTCTCAATCATGTCAAACATCATATATCCTTTCATCCGTCGAATACAGCTTTATTTGTATATACATATTTTTCCAACTGCCTTTTTACCAGCGCAGCCTCCCTTGACTCCATTCCAATCCGGGATGTTGTCCAAGTCTGTTATCTGAAGTTTAATGGCGCAGCAACTCCCAATCATTAATTGTCCAAACCTTCCTTTTGAGCTTTAATGAACCAGTACCTTCCACGTTCAATTGTTGGGCAAAACTGCTTGCAATATTGCAGTGTAAATAAACTGCATTCCACAAATATCAGTCATTTGGCGATCGATCAGCCTCCAGAGGCTGATTGAGGGTCCCTGTTTTCCAGGGACGTCCCTGATTTAGAGAAGCCGTCCCGGTTTCTGATTTGATCCCGGAATGTCCCACTTTCCCTTAGGATGTCCCTGTTTTCCTTGGAGGGTATGGAGCTATCTGACCCCAGAGCCGTCGGAAGGCAAACTAGTACAGAGAAGGTTTTTTGAAATGCTTAATGTTTTATTATGTTTTTTTATATATTGGGAGCTGCCCAGAAGCTGGATGGGGCAACCCAGTAAGACGTGTGGGGTATAAATAGTAAAATTATCGTGATGGAAGGGGACGTCCCTATTTTCGTCAGAGAAATGTATGTGATGAGTGGGAACTGTAACACTTTGTTGCAGTGCGCAGGGCTTCCTGTTTAGACGTCTCTTTGTGCTTAAGGTTTCCCTCCCCCTTAATATTATCTGCAAACCTTGTGGGGTTTCCCCCAGATTCCCAATTCTGGCTATTGGTCACAGAATCATACAGTGGGAAGGGACCCTCAAAGGGCATCTAGTCTGACCCGCTGCCATGCCGGAATCCTTTTTGCCCAAACATGGGGCTTGAACCCACGACCCTGAGATTAAGAGTGTCATGATCTACCGACTGAGCTATCACAGAGTGCGATGCTTTCGTTGAGATTCCTGCATTGCAGCGGGTCAGACTAGATGACCCCCGGGGTTCCCTTCCATCTCTGCAATTCTATGATTTACAATTCCTCACCTGTGCGTGGCTGATGTTTCCGTTTGCCTACGCATAAACTCCACACACGTCCACTCCGATCTGCAAAACAGGCACTTTTGCAAGCCCCACAAAACATTTATTCCGTGGCTGCAGGAACGCCACGAGTACCGATAGTAATAATATTGATTCAGAAGCGGCAGCCGGTGCAGAATGCTGCAGCAAAATTGCTGACAGGAGTGAGGCCTTGTCAGCAAACAGCACCTGTGCTCAGAGATCTGCCGCTGGTAGCCGATTTGCTACTTGGCCAAGTTCAAAGGATTACTTTTAGGATATAAAACCCTTGAGATCAGTTTACCTGGAAGATCAACGATCCCCCCCCCACTTGACCGTTTCAATCTACAGGATTGTTATTGCTACAGGTGAAACATCAGACCTGTTTCACACCTGTCAGAAATCAAGATTTTAGTGTGGCAGCACCTGTACTTCGGAACTCCTTGCCACTTGATATCCTGCAGGTGCCTTCCCTCAACTCTCTTCGGCACCTGCTAAAAACATTTTTGTTTCAGCAAGCCTACGTGAATATTTAGAATCCTGGTGTGTGCTTTCATCTGATTTTAACTTTTTAAAAGGTTTTTAATAGTTTTAAACTGTTTTTGCAGAGAGGTTTGTTGTTTTCGTCAACTGCTTTGAGGCGTGTGGTTTTTTTCAACGATCAAGAAGTGTACAAATATTATGAAATTAATAAAAATAATAATATTGTCAGCATCATCTTGACCTTCTGCTTATAAAGCACTCGGAGCAGATTTCATCAGAAAGAAAACCACAACAAGACAAAGTACAGCTTTAAAACATTGTCGTCTGAAAGCAGGAATTGATTTGTAAATATCCCTTTTGATCCTTTTTCACCCATTATGATTATATCTGTAATATCAGCGATTTGAAAAATGGCAACACAGCAAAGAGAAGCAACGCCATTTTCAAGAAGAGCATTGGGAGGAAGTTGATTACCTATTGGGATAAAATGTACCCATGGATGAGTATTTAAGTGAACATTTTAGTACTGGGGAGAGGTAATAGATAGTTAACTCTTATAGCAGTTTTATTATTTTATTGCTTTTAAAAGCTGCCTTGAACTCCTTGGAGGAAAGATGACACAAACAGGGAATAAATTCAAGTTAAATCAGTTCAAAACGGCAGCTGAATCTCATGTTAACTGGCAACTGAAAATTTCTGGCGAACTGGAAGAATAGAGATATGATTCTCTTAATCAACGGCTTGACAATATGACAATCTTGGCAATATATGAACGCAATATATAGACGCAGACTTTCTTTGGATAAATATAGTGATATTTGGAACGACTATACACAGAATATATTAGGTTACTGATAAATATATCTGTACGAGGATAATAAGACCAGACATATCTGTATACGAACGTACGGAAATGTGATTGTTTTTCTTTTGTTTCTATTTTCATTCGCTTTTTTCCTTTTTTATCACTCTTTTGTTTTACGAATGAAATTCTTCTAATAAAATCTTAATTTAACAACAACAACAAGAAGAAGCAGCTACGGATTTTTAAAAAATGGCTTTCCATTTCTAGCTAAGAGCTTATCCAAACTAACCTTCCCTCCACTCTTTCCAGGACGACCAGTGATTTAAAGTTCTCTGCCCAAGCACTCCTCTTTTTGAACTCTAGACCATGGGTAGGCAAACTAAGGCCCGGGGGCCGGATCCGGCCCAGTCGCCTCCTAAATCCGGCCCGTGGACGGTCCAGGAATCAGCGTGTTTTTACCTGAGTAGAATGTGTCCTTTTATTTAAAATGCATCTCTGGGTGATTTGTGGGGCCTGTCTGGTGTTTTTACATGAGTAGAATGTGTGCTTTTATTGAAAATGCATCTGTGGGTTATTTGTGGGGCATAGGAATTCGTTCTTTTTTCAAAATATAGTCCGGCCCCCCACAAGGTCTGAGGGACAGTGGACCGGCCCCCTGCTGAAAAAGTTTGCTGACCCCTGCTCTAGACCTTCCCCTGCGAAAACCTGCACAAAACCCCACACTTGGACACGAAGCGTCAGTGGGACAAAAGGAGAGAGGGGGATAAGCCCTATGTCAGCCTCTTCCAATCTGAGGTTGATGGGATTTGTAGTCCAACACATTGGAAAGGCCCTGGAAAACATCAGAAGGTTTTCTATTGGGAATAGTACCAGGAAGTCTAAAGGCGGAAGACAAGACAGTCTTTTATATTTATACGCAACAGTAGTGGCAAGGCTATTGACTGCGAAAAAATGGAAAAGTGGTATTATACCAACAAAAACAGAGTGGCTTGCCAAATTATTGGAGTGTTACAATACTGTATATCCAAAACGTGGGAGAAATTGGAAGGATCTCAAAAGAGTAGACAGGGACTGGAAGGTGTTTAAAGGATACTTGCAAAACCATATTGAAAAATCAGAACTCCTATTAGAATAAACAAGTTCCGTTTTAAATACTGAAATACTAAATAAGATGGATAACAATGTGTAATAGAAAAAGAAGCAGAAAATTGGGTTAATGGTGTGTGAAAGAAAGTAGTAGAAGTGGAAAGAAATTGCAACTGAGTAGATTGGAAGTCTAACACAAGGGTGGGGTGAGGGGTGAGGGGTGGTGGTGGGAAAGGGAAGTATCTGTGGGATTGAGTGTAGGTATGTATGAACATTTTTAAAAATTGTATTAAATGTATGTTTATATATTCGTAACAAGTGTGTATTAATGCTGAATTATTTTAATAATAAAAACTTTTTAAAAAGGAAAAGGAAAGGCCCTGGATTGGCAGGAACTTGGTCTGAAGGTCAATTCGTAGAATCAAAGGAGCATAGAAAGGCAGAGTTGGAAGGGCACCCCCAGAGCTCATCTAGTCCAACCCGCTGCAAAACCTCCTCCCGAAACTCCCTCCTTTCCCCTTTCTGCCTCTCCTCCCAGGTGGGGCGCTCCGAGGTCCTCCGCGGCTCCCAAAACCCCGTCTTTGGCCATGTCTTTGCCCTAGACTACTTCTTCGAAGAGATGCAGATATTGAGGTTCGACGTCTACGACGCCGATGGAGAGAGCGCCGAAGACGTGGGGTCCGAAACGGGGGTCCTTCTGGGCACCATTGAGTGCACCTTAGGCCAGGTAAGGCTGGTTTGACCCCGTGGGGGGGAATAAACCTTTCTCTCGCTGTATTTTTGGGAAGTACAGGCCCAAACGTCAATTTATTAGGATTTCTCCAAAGGGTTGTGGGTGGATGGGTGGGGCAGGGACAGCAGGAGCAGCGATGTCATCCGCCGGGGGCGGCAGCACTCGGGAAACTCATGGGCTTTGCTTGCTCCGGCAACCAAATGCGGCGATAATGAGGCTTTCAAGTTTTGCGGCGTGGTTTGCTCGTTTCACTTTTAAATAGGCAGCGTCGTTTCGTCCAGCCGAGGCACAATCTACGTGCCCGAGGTTTTGAGAACGCCAATAGTTAAAGAGCTGGTTTTCAAAACGTGTGTAAAGTTTAATCATTTCACTATTTCGGAGCTAGAATAAATGATTGAAATAGTGTTCGACATGTTGGAGCAGAGGCTTCAACAGGTGTTTGACTTGTTTTCCGTTCTGTTTAAAGCTTTCCGCTTTTCCTTCAGTTGCTAAACACAGATAATCCATTTCCTGTTCTGAAATTCCCAATTCCCTTTCTGTATAATCAGTTACTAGTTCTACTTATATATACTAAACTCCTCTCCCTCCCTCGGCTGTTAGCCGAACAATATTTAAGTTTTCCAATACTTCCCTTACTAAAATCTGATCTATTAGGCTTCTGGTCTCCCCAAGCCTTTGGATAAAGGATTCCTGCTGGATTTATGATGCCTAAAGCTTGATTTTGCTGACTTACTTCTAAATAGTTTAAACATTTTGGGGGGGGGCAGCTAATGTAATGTCCAGCTGATTTCCTAGAATAAACCCAGAAAGCTTTCTTCATATTTAAACTCTTCTTGGGAATGTGGCTTGTATTTTTATGAACCGCCCTGAGATCTGCGGATGATGGGCGGCGTACAGATTTAATAAATAACAACAATAACAATTGCCCTTAGGCCCCGGATGAAGTGCAGTGTGCCAGCCACTCATGAGGACAAGAAATTTGTTGGATGACTTTAAAAGGAAAGTGGAAATTTCCAGGGAGCTAAATCGTATGCTAGGTTTTGAACCCTGGGCAAGTTCTCTTCCCATACGGCATGGGCTCGTTTGTGGACCTGTTTATTGAGCGTTCATCCAGATTTGCTTGTACGACATTTGCAGGAACGTCAGATGATTCCAGCTATTCATTAATCCCACAGTTTCCAATGCATTTTCCCATCACTTTCGTTACTGCAAGAAGTCCGACGGTGGGATATTAATATTAATATTAACCAATATTAATTCTACAAGCTGAATTTGTTGGTATACAATCCGTGTCTCACCTGAAAACAGCAACAGTCTGGAAACCCCTGTAATTTGGGACACGAAGACTCTTTCCACCTCCCTTTTCATTCTTTATTCTCCCTCCTTTCCTTTCTCATCTCCTTCCTTCCTTCCCTCCTTCCTTCCCTCTCTTTCTCTTTCTCTTTCTCTTTCTCTTTCTCTTTCTCTCCTTCCTTCTACCGTCCTTCCTTCCCTCTCTCTTTCTCCCCTTCTCTTCATCAGCCGATGTGGATTTTAATTTGTTTAGTGTTTTTAACTTCGATGTTTTAACGCATTACGAATCTTTCCTGATTTTATGGTTTTTATCTTTTTCCGTAAACCGCTTTGGCCTAGCGGTGTATACATTTTAAACAAGCAAATCGGCAAATAAACATGTCCCTTCCTTCCTTCCCCTGAAGCACAGTTAATTCTCTGCCCTTCTTCCCTCCTTCCTCGCCTGCCTGCCTGCCTGCCTGTGACTCAACTGCCGGCTCCCCAGATTGTCTCCCAAACCAAGGTCACAAAGCAGCTGCAGCTGACAAGTGGAGAGACTGTGGAGAAGTCAACCATCACGGTACAGAAATCGGTCGGTCGGGGGGTGTGGATGGGAGGGGAGGAGGAGGGTGGGAGAGCCTGTTGAGGAACAAGGAAGGACGAAGACACTCAAAGGACAGGCAGGAGACAAAGAGCCAGGAGGGAGCCTCATTTCCGTGGTTAAAAGTCAGCCTCGGAATCTGTGGGTCGCAAGAGCGCTCCTGAGCATGCACAGAGTGCAATTGGCTACCTGGAGTCCGCTGGGGTTAGAATGATAGAATCACAGGTTTGTAGAGTTCGAAGTGATCTCAAGATTCATGTAGTCCAAACCCCTGCAAGGCAGGAATCACAACAGTGCAAGAATGGCAGATGGTCACCCAACCTCTGCTTAAAAACCTCCAAGGCAGCAGAGCCCGCAACCTCCTGAGGCAGATCGTTCCACTGTCAATCAGCTCTTGCTGTCAGAAAGGGGCAGGGCTTCACTTAAGGTGTGACGTTTGTTTACCAGACTGGCCAACCTTGCAGGGGCGTTGCGAAGGAGATTGGACCAGAACACTCGGGAAATGCTGAATGATGAATGCTTTGCCGTTGCTTTTCCAAGGACCTGGTTTTTTAAAATAATAATAATTTTTTATTTATACCTCCTTTCTTGCCATTTCAAGCCATTGGTTCGAGTCCTGCCATCCAGAGCAGGAGAAAACAAGCTTGCTCCTTCCTCCAAGGGACGGCTCTTTATAATAAATATAATAATAAATTTTTATTTATACTCCGCCCTTCCCGGTTCAGAAAACCGGGCTCAGGGTGGCTAACAACAAATTTAAAACACTTAATTAATGCAACAAAAAACAGCATAAAATACAATATAAAACGTGAATGACAATAAATTCAGAATTCAAAAATCAGTTTAGGGGGGAAATCCATCCAATAAACATTAGATGATCACCAGGGCTAGCTGGCTAAATTAGTCCTATCTGAGCCAGTGAGGAGACCAGGGGAGAATTAGCTGTGGGATCCCAGAGCGGGTAATCTTCATAAAAAGGGAGGGGGGAAGGAAGGGGAATAAAAGATCAGGCTAAGTTCAAATTGAAAGCCAGGTGGAATAGCTCTGTCTTACAAGCCCTGCGGAAGGAAGTTAAATCCTGCAGGGCCCTGCTGTCATGGGACAGAGCATTCCACTAAGTCGGAGCCATCACTGAGAAGGCCCTGGCCCTGGTGGAGGATAGTCTGACTTCCTTAGGGCCCGGGACCTCTAAACTATGATTATTCATGGACCTTAAGGTCCTCTGCGGGGCAGACCAGGAGAGGCGGTCCCGTAAATACGAGGGCCCTAAGCCACAAAGGGCTTTAAAGGTCAAAACCAGCACCTTAAACCTGACCCGATACTCCACCGGGAGCCAGTGCAACTGGTAAAGCACTGGGTGAATATGCTCCCATGGCAGGGACCGCGTGAGGAGCCTCGCTGCAGCATTCTGCACCCTCCTGTCGAGAAACTAGGCAGTTCCCAGCCAACGCAGGACCCTGCTTTATCCTGAACCAGACCACCAGACCATTTAGCTCAATGTTGGACACACTGACGTGACAGCAGGATTTTTGGCAGGAGTCTGTCCCAGCCCTGCCTGCCGATGCTGTTGGTTTTCGAACCCGGGACCCCCTGCATTCACAGCAGAGGTTCTGCCCTTTAGCTACAGCAGTTTCTCTCCCCTCAGGAGGCCCAGGGAGCTAAATTTCCTTGTTCCAGCGCACCAGGAGGGTTGCGCTTCCTACTGTGGGTCTGGCCAGCACATCTGCAGTCGCCAGGCAGAACATTCGCATCGCCTCTCATCCCCTCAGACACCAGCAAGTCCCCCCAGTTTATCTATTGAACATTAAAACTATATATTTTAATGTTTCGATGGGTTTTCCTTACTGCGTATTTTAATTATGGGTGTCCCAGGCATAGTCAGAGGGACGCAGGTGGCGCTGTGGGTTAAACCACAGAGCCTAGGACTTGCTGATCAGAAGGTCGGGGGTTCGAATCCCTGAGACGGGGTGAGCTCCCGTTGCTCGGTCCCTGCTCCTGCCAACATAGCAGTTCGAAAGCACGTCAAGTGCAAGTAGATAAATAGGTACCGCTCCGGCGGGAAGGTAAACGGCGTTTCCGTGCGCTGCTCTGGTTTGCCAGAAGCGGCTTAATCATGCTGGCCACATGACCCGGAAGCTGTACGCCGGCTCCCTCGGCCAATAAAGCGAGATGAGCACCGCAACCCCAGAGTCGGCCACGATGACCTAATGGTCAGGGGTGGGCGTAGTCAGGGGGCAGGAGGGCAGCTGGCGCCCTAGATCAAGTAAGTAAATAAAAACACTCATCTAAAAGCAGAAATTGCAGAAAGATTTTGACAGATTCTTCAGAGCGCTTGAGAGCAAAAGAAAGTGATTTAAAAGAACTGTTGTTGAGACATTTCGTTCCAAATCTGCTAGATGGAGCTGGACAGAGGTTAATGACAGGGGGGTGTCCTGCCTCCCCACAACATAAAATAAATCCTGGGCGTTGAATACTTGTCAGATTGGTTTTTAAACGTGGAAACTGTTCACCTGTCTTGGCATTAAGTGGCGTGCACATTAATTCAGCTGTCGTTTGTCAATATGGGCAGGAATGGAATATAGGAATATAAATGAGTTGGGTGACTCTGGTGCCTTGAAGTCCGAAGGAGTTTTTGCCCTGGCTGCCTGGCCATAACTTCAATTTCCACCCAGTTTGCTTACTTACACGAGGCTTCTGGAATCACCTGCTCTGATTTCCAGAGCCAAGCTAGCCTGCTCATGGTGTGCTTGTTTGTTTTGCATTACGCTGATAGCCTACCTTTCCCCAAGGAGATCATGGCTCCCCCTCCCTCATTTCCCTCCTTTACAACACCCCTGCAAGGTAGGTTAGCTGAGAGATAATGACCGATTAAAGGTCAGCCACTGAGTTCTGAACATGGGTATATGGCGACTCTCCTATATTTAAGCACAGTCTATGGGGAGGGGGAACAGGGCCAGTGCCAGGGGTTTGGGGGGGGGGGGCATTTGGCACGCTGCAAGTTTTTTTATAGTAGTCAGAAGGCCTGTGTTCAAGAAAACAGAATGAAGGCTTTGAGATGTTTATCCACCTGGGACTTGTATCGCCGCAGATTGAAGCAGAGGAGGTCTCCAGAACCAACGAGTTTGTGCAACTGGAATTTCATGGGCAGGAGCTAGACGACAAGGTAAGTAAAAAGCAAAGTGCCAGCCTTGCAGGAAAAAAAAAGTGGTTTTTCGAGTTCCACAGAACTCTTCTTCGCTTTGAGGAATGTATTCAGTGGTCTGTGTTTGCCTGAGCTTGAGTCTGGACTAAGGATTCTGAGGTCCCGTGTTCTGATTGGACACATGACGTCCAATCGCAGAACATTTCAGGATTTGGGCCTCTGCCATTGGCCCTTCAACTCTTGAGTCGTGATTCGCAGTTTGGAAGTTTAGACAGCCAATCACGTTGGGAGGGGGAGTGGCCCAGGCTTTCAAAAATGTATATAGGCAGTTGCTTTGCCTCTGTTTCCCAGTAATGTAGTTCAATAAAGGTTCTTGCTGTTATCACTGTGTTTTGCTTCGTGGGAACCCGCCTAGACTTCACTGGCGACAAGGATGGGATGCTAGGCTAGGTACGCAGCCCTGGCTAGCTTCCACAAGCTGAAATCACCGCTGAGCTGAAATCACAGACTGCAGCTATAAGGCAGATCACACAGAGCAGAGCTCTGTGGAACCCAGAAGCTGGCACCATTTTTGAGGTGTTTGGGGTTGGTCCAATAGACAGGATTATCTCATCAATCATACATTTCTAGATGTGGAAGTAGAGAAAGGGGGAGATTTGGTCGTCTGTTAGGTATATTTGCATAAAGTCACACTAAAATCCTGATGAATGTTCACGAGGACACTTTTTAAAAAATCACAAACTGAATTGATGTGTTTACTGATTTAAATAAGCATAAAGGATATTGCCTCCCCCCCCCCCCCCCGCTGCTGCCCTTGATGTATGCTGGACCATGGATCTTTTGAGCTAATTCTTGAAACACTGTAAAGAAAACATAAAGGAGAAAGAAATAGTTAAGATTATCAGTATGCCTCGTTACTGAGCTGCCTTAAGCTGGTTATGTTAATGACTCAGCCTCTACATCCGCTTTCCTTCGTTTCATTTTTCGTTTGTACTTTCAAAAAAATTTTTTAATAAAGACTTTAAAAAGAAAGAAAGAAAGCTGATGTGGAAATCTGGAGAAATGAATGTAAGACTGGGAAAATGAGAAGCTGATAGAAACTGAAATTGACTGATTAAGCCCCCCATCCCTGGCAAAACATCAGCTCTGCCCTGCCCCATAGCATTCAGACGACTGAACCCTCTCCCTGATCCTTGTAGGATTTCTTCAGCAAATCCGATCCTTTCCTGGAGATCTATAAGGTCAACAGCAACGAGAAAGAACACCTGGTCTGGAGGACAGAGGTGAGCTATTATGGGCTGCATGGCGTGCTTGGCGGCAGAGGACTAAGGGGGAGTTTTAGGAACTGGCTGCTTTTAATGAGGGGCTGGTTCTGTGCTCTATATGCAGTTTTAATTCTATTAATGCTTAATCATTTTTTAATCTCTCCCCCCCCCATATCTTTAGCTGTTCTTGTTTTATCTTTAAGCTGCCTTGAGTTCCTGTCAGGGGAAAAGGCATGGTGTGTGTGTGTGTGTTTATATATATATAGGGACGCGGGTGGCGCTATAGTCTAAGCCACTGAACCTCTTGGGCTTGCCGATCTGAAGGCCGGCAGTTCGAATCCCCACGACAGGGTGAGCTCAGGTTGCTGTGTCCCAGCTCTTGCCAACCTAGCAGTTCGAAAGCACGTCGAAGTGCAAGTAGATAAATAGGTACCGCTCCGGCGGGAAGGTAAACGGCGTTTCCATGCGCTCCGGCACTCGTCAAGGTCTTCTGTGCGCCAGTAGCAGTTTAGTCCTGCTGGCTACATGACCCGGAAAACTGTCTGTGGACAAATGCCGGACCCCTCGGCCTGAAAGTGAGATGAGCGCCACAAACCCATAGTCAGAGAATCATAGAATCATAGAATCATAGAGTTGGAAGAGACCACAAGGGCCATCGAGTCCAACCCCCTGCCAAGCAGGAAACACCATCAGAGCACTCCTGACATATGGTTGTCAAGCCTCTGCTTAAAGACCTCCAAAGAAGGAGACTCCACCACACTCCTTGGCAGCAAATTCCACTGTCGAACAGCTCTTACTGTCAGGAAGTTCTTCCTAATGTTTAGGTGGAATCTTCTTTCTTGTAGTTTGGATCCATTGCTCCGTGTCTGCTTCTCTGGAGCAGCAGAAAACAACCTTTCTCCCTCCTCTATGTGACATCCTTTTATATATTTGAACATGGCTATCATATCACCCCTTAACCTCCTCTTCTCCAGGCTAAACATGCCCAGCTCCCTTAGCCGTTCCTCATAAGGCATCGTTTCCAGGCCTTTGACCATTTTGGTTGCCCTCCTCTGGACACGTTCCAGTTTGTCAGTGTCCTTCTTGAACTGTGGTGCCCAGAACTGGACACAGTACTCCAGGTGAGGTCTGACCAGAGCAGAATACAGTGGCACTATTACTTCCCTTGATCTAGATGCTATACTCCTATTGATGCAGCCCAGAATTGCATTGGCTTTTTTAGCTGCCAGTCACCTTTGACTGGACTTAACCGTCCAGGGGTCCTTTACCTTTACCTTTACTGTGTGTGTGTGTGTGTGTGTGTGTGTGTGTGTGTATTTCGAGAAGTAGGAAACTGAACACAAAGAAGTTGTTGAGCTTCTTCTTTTTTTAAATAACTCCCCAAAAGGCACTTCCTGGTTCTGCTGGCAAAAACCCCGATATTTTTGAACCCCCCCCCCCCCCAATTCCACCACTTGAATCCTGGACAATCCAAAAATATCTGGTTGTATGTCAACCCTATAATACTGCAATCATCATCTTCCGATTCATCCATGGGCTGGGAAAATGAAATTGCACGTAAGGTGGAGAAGGATGACTTGAAGGCAGGGTGTGTGTGATAGGACCATGAGGAGGAGATGCTTTCAGGCAGCAGGAAAAGATGTTTGGATGTTTGGGTGGTCAAACCACTGAAGGCTAATGGATCCATATTAACCAGTTGCATTGGCATAAACAGAATCTTTGCCAAAGACGGCAGCTGCCAGACAACCTTTGAATCAGAATTTATTTTCCCACGCAATCTGCCGCAGAGACACAGCCGCTGAGCTGATCCACACATAGCTTTGCCTCCCTCCCCTTTTAAATATGGGAATATATAAGATTAGGGACACAGGAAGTTGGCTGACCCTAAACCAGACCCTTTTGGTCCATCTAGTTCAGTGTAGTTGACTCTGATAGACAGCAGCCTTCTTAAGTAAGTTGGCAAACATTTGCAAAACAATAGCAGCAGCAGCAACACGGCTAAGGTTGTTGTTACTGGTGGTGCTGGTTTATATTATCGCAGTTTGTCCTGCAGTTTCCCCACAAGGATTTTCACCCAAGTATTTATTTTCTTTTACTTTACAAAATCCACGTGCCTCTTGATTGTATTCAAACCTCTTAAGCAGTTTACAAGAAATATTAGAGGTTTCGATCAAAAACAGTTAACAACACATAGAGAGATAATTTAAAATGAACAGCAAACAGTGTTTTAATCATGTTTTTTTTAATGCTGCCCTGAGATCTACGGGTGAAGGGCTGTATACGAAACAAACAAACAAACAAAAGGGATTGAAACTTGTCAACATCTATGTGTCTGGTTAGGTTTGCCTAGGCAAAAATGTTTCTAAAAAATACAGTGAAGGCCTCTGCTTGATATCAATAAGCGGTGAGTTCCATGGTGCTCATTCCAGCACACAAAAAGGTTGATTTCTTGCAACTGCAGAATAAGTACCTTATTTACTTGAGTCTAAGGCGCCATCAAATCTAATGCATGCCTCAATTTTCAGAACCTTGAAACCAAAAAAGGATTTGCTGGCGAACGCAAATGTGGCATCGAATCTAATGCGTGCCTTAATTTACGCATTGTAATTTGGCCCCCCCAAAAGGTGTGCATTACATTTGAGTAAATACAGTATTTTTAGGGCTTGTAAAAGTGCCAGTTTTGCAGATACGGTGTACAACAATAAGGACTAGAAGAAACTTGGTACGTTCAAAATGTTCATGACAGTCACTCAGCAAGATGAGAAGGCAGCAGATATAGTGCTTAAACAAGCCGCTTCATGTAAGATAAGAGTCTCAAGGTCCAAAACAAAACATCCTGGCAAGGCTGGCTCAACACAACTCTCTGTGAAGGGTATCCTGGAATTTTGGTGCAGCCACCAAAAAGTCCCCGTCGCTTTATGCTGCCCTGGACAGGGGAGTAGAAGTTTTTAGGGAGAGGAAGTTGTGCAATGTGAGTGACTGGAGGGCGGGAACAACTTTGGTACCAGTTTGTGAGTCTACTTGATTTTTGTGCATTTCCCTTCCCATCATACACCAGGTGGTGAAGAACAACCTGAGCCCTCAATGGCAACCTTTCCGTGTCTCCCTGCAGTCCCTGTGCAGCTGCGATCCGGGGAAAAGCATCCGGGTGAGCTTCCTCTGGAGCGCGGGAACTCCAGGAGAGTCAAAGGGGTGGGGGCGGGGGTTAGGGCAGGGGGTCAAGGACCTACGGGGAAACAGGGGCACATTGGGACCCAGGCACCCAGGGTAAAAATAATGTTATTTTTATTTTTATTATATTTATATAGGGTTGTAATAGGGGTGGCATATTTCAAAAAGTAAAATTCCTGACACCCGTTGAGCTTTTTTGGGGAAACCATGGCATTCGGGTTTTCCCTGACATTTTACCAATTCCTCCTTGATGCCAGTTTTATGCCCGAAAACCAGGACTTGTCAGGAGTTTTCCTGATTTATGGCAAGCCTAGGCTATAAGGTGGCATGGCGTTGTATACTACCCTGGGATATTTTGATGAAGTGAAGCATATAAATTTAATAAATAATAATAAGTTGTTATAATAATAATAAATAATGGCTGGACTTTCTCTGTGTGTGCATGTTTCTGTGTGTTGCATTCATGATTTCAGGTGTTGGGACAGGTATAAATAAAATTCTTATCCTTCTTCTTCTTCTTCTTCTTCTTCTTCTTCTTCTTCTTCTTCTTCTTCCCCCCATCTTAAGCACACTTCCCCAGGGGATTAGAACCCATTGAACTTAAGTCCATATGCTTAGGAACGTTTGCGTAAACTTGGCTGAGCAAAGAGCATTCAAATAAAATTAAATTAACATGTTCGCATTCCGTCAGTACAGTGGTACCTCGGGTTAAGAACTTAATTCCTTCCGGAGGTCCGTTCTTAACCTGAAACTGTTCTTAACCTGAAGCACCACTTTAGCTAATGGGGCCTCACACTGCCGCCACACGATTTATGTTCTCATCCTGAAGCAAAGTTCTTAACCCGAGGTACTATTTCTGGGTTAGCGGAGTCTGTAACCTTAAGCGTATGTAACCTGAAGCGTCTGTAACCCGAGGTACCACTGTATTGTGGAAACCTTTTCTTCTGGGATTAGAAGCCACAGGCAATTGGAACAGACAGTTTCAATCATTCTGGGTCTCGCATCCGGATTTCCCACAATACTGATGGGACTTGAACTTGTTTGTTGTATTTTATTTTTTGTGGGGGGGGGCAGACAAACCCCAGGAGCAGGTATCCCCAGGGCGCCTGGTTCCCATTCCCAGCCTCTCACCTGCTTTCTCCTCCTCTCCTCCTAGTGCATCATCTACGACCACGACTCCAGCGGAAAGCACGACTACATCGGCGAGTTCAGCACCACTTTCCAGGAAATGCTTCAGGCTTCCTCAGGGGATGAGGTAGTTTGAACGGTCAGCCGGGAATGATGCCCCGGGGGGTGGGGCGGCGAGGAAAGCGGAGAAGAGCGAGGACAGGCCTCGCGTGAAAACAGAACTCGGTGACGGCCCCTTAGTTATGGGAGGGGGCGTGTCCTGTGCGAGAGGGAGGCCACGCCCACTTTGGGGCACGCCCACTGCTGATATGCGGCAGGTGAGCTGTGGCTGAATGGGGTCCCCCATCCCAAGAAGGCCAGCCAACTGTGGGTTTAAGCCTTGAAGTCTAACATGTGGGATGTGAAACACAAGAGCAATCAATTACAACATTCATGTTTAGACATGGGGAGGGATGTTTGTCCAGCCAGCAGGTAAACTTCCTGGGACAGACTTCCTCCACATGTGACTAGAGGTGGGTGTGGCCTCACCTGTGCAGGTACTGACAAAAGCACAGGGCAGGGCAGCCATCTCTCTCTCTTTCACCACATGCTTCGAAGAAGCAACATCTGCTAAGCTAAAGATGCCCTCTTGGCTCCCAGCCAAGAGAAGAGAAAGGGACTATCTTCTTATAAGATAGAATCCAAATGTATATTACTTAACTAAGTTTAAGTCCGCCTTCTGAGATCTGATGTGAACAGAATGTCAGTAAACTCTTTTTATACTTATGTAAAGGACTGTGTCGTTTCTTCTATTTTAAGAGGGAATAAAGGGGAAATTACCAGAGTGATTATTATAGAGGCTTAAGCAAGCCTGAGCAAACGCTGCCGTCGCAAACCTAAAATAAAGGGGAATGTTTTACTCTGCTGATACTGGGAACTTATTAACACAAGTTGGATAAGGATATAATCAGTCAATATATCCTCTCTTGCATCCCTGAACATTCCCACATAACACCTGTACTGGCGAATGCCGGAATCCAGGAATCTTTGACCGCAGGAATCTTCCCAGTCCTTTTCTCCTTGCCCCCAATAATCCTGGAAAGTGTGTGTTTTTTTGGCGAGAATGACGCAAAGGCACGCAACAGAGGTCGATCAAAACCGTGGTTTGGAGGAGAGAGACTGGTTGGCGTGTAGGTGCGCAAACATCTGCCTTCTGTACGGCTGGGATATTACTGTGCAAAGGCCAGAGTCGTGGTGGTTGCTCCGCCCCTTTCATTCTGGCCCCGCCCCCTCTGCCCCTGGCCCCGCCCCCCTATGGCAAGTGCCTCTGCCGTTCTTTTTTTTTTAATGGCATTGATGAAGTGCTCTGCCGCTCTTGGCCCAGAAGTTCGCCCTGGCTTAGCTGCCGAGTTTGACTGCGCCGGAAGCATCTGTTCCCTCCTTTGGCACAATGGGTCAATGCGTCTGGCTGTTAACCAGAAGGCTGGTGGTTCGAGCCCACCCGGGAACGGCTGTGGGCAGGATTCATGCATTATTCTACATTATTCTACATTTGATAGGGAGCCGCCCAGAGTGGCTGGGGAGACTCAGCCAGATGGGCAGGGTATAAATAAAAAATTATTATTGTTGTTATTATTATTATTATATTCTGCCTGCTTCGCCAGCTCGAGGAGCAGAGCAGTGGCCTCTGTGAGCCCCTGGATGGATCCAGCAAAGCTCTCCTTTGACTCTGGTGGTCTTGTGTAATAATAATAATAATAATAATAATAATAATAATTAATAATAATAATAATTTATTATTTATACCCCACCCATCTGGCTGGGTTTCCCCAGCCACTCTGGGCTGCTTCCAGCAAAGTATTAAAATACAGTAGTCTGTTAAACATTAAAAGCTTCCCTAAAGAGGCCTGCCTTCAGATGTCATGCGGTGCTCAGACAACCCTGTCTCCTTCTCTCCCGGCAGGTGAAATGGGAATGTATTAACCATAAATATCAAGAAAAGAAAAAGCATTACAAGAACTCCGGGTATATCGTCCTCGCTCAGTGCAAGGTAAGTCAGCAGTCCAGAGGTCGTCATGATTGTGTCGCACAGACAATCTAGGGAATTGTTGTTGGCGTCTGTCTGTTCCGAGAGACAATGGAGTGTGCCTCTGGGGGTGAAGTCAAGCTGCTGTGTTGCAACACCAAAGTGACCTCCTTGGGGTGCAAGCCTGGGCAGTGTGGCTGGAGGTCCTGGGCTGCCCAGATGACAGGACCCCCCTCTCAGCCTGGCTGATGTGGTCCAATGGAAAGCAGAGCAAGATGTTTGGCACCAGCTTGGCTGCAGGAGTTGCCGGAAGGAGGCGTACAAAGCGCCATCCAACCGTCTTAGGGACTCCATTCCGGATCTGAGTAGGGTTTACTCCTTAGCCCTTTCATCTGTAGATATCCCACAAGAAGTGGAGGTTTAGGATCAGAGTTTTCCTTCTCCTAGATGGGCTCCCTTTCCAGGTGGGCGGCCGCCATCTGCCCCTCACTTCCCTCTACAAGAAGAAACCACCTTTTTTAAAAAAAATAATTATTATTTAATCATTTTTTCAATACAAACAACAACCACAAAAAACACATACAACAAAAACCACAAGAACACAATTTAACATAGAAACCACCTTCTTGACCATGGGTAGGCAAACTAAGGCCCGGGGGCTGGATCCGGCCCAATCGCCTTCTCAGTCTGGCCACGGACGGTCCAGGAAGCAGCGTGTTTTTACATGAGTAGAATGTGTCCTTTTATTTAAAATGCCTCTCTGGGTTATTTGTGGGGCATAGAAATTTGTTCATTTCCCCTCCCAAAATATAGTCCGGCCCCCCCACAAGGTCTGAGGGACAGTGGACCGGCCCCCTGCTGAAAAAGTTTGCTGACCCTTGTTCTTGACCTTCGGACCCACTTTTGGTCGCCTCCACTCAACCAATTTTTGCATGCAGAGGATGTGGTCTAGGGAATATTGAGCATTCGAAAACAACTCCCCCCCCCCCCAAAAAAACCAGGCAATTGCCTTTGAAGTTCTTAAGCTGGGAGGCGCTTAATTAGTGCAAAGCGATTAAAGCCTTTGGTGATGCTCTTGAGAACCTCAGTGATTGCAAACCTTGCCCTCTTCCTAAAACTGTTTTCAGGAACAGATCAGTCAAGTTGCTGGTTATTTTTTGGGTGGGCGGCTGCTGGAGCCTCAATGCAGAACCGGGGATTGCTTCATCCGGCAAGGCAAAGGAGCTGGACCTTTGGGGTTCCATCACTCCCATCTAAACGATATATTTTTCAGAAGATGCTTGAAAGAAGGCAAGGATAGTTTCTGCAAAACTTCTACTGGCAGGGAGTTCCACAGGGCAGGATCTGCCATACTGAGTCCCTAGGGAAGACTGACCAAACCTCAGGGGTATGAGGGGGGAGCCACCAGAAATTGAGGGAATTTGAATATGGCTGACAGTATTCCTTTCCCCCCTTTCCCCTTTGCAGATGGAGAAAGTTCACACCTTCCTGGATTACATCATGGGTGGTTTACAAATTTCCTTCACGGTAAGAAAAAGAGAATTATGAATTTGGTAATATTATTGTTTATGAAAAGTATTTTTTCCCCTTTTGTCTTTTTGTTGTTGTTTGCATTTTGGAAACATGTACAGTGGTACCTCAGGTTACATACGCTTTAGGTTATAGACTCCGCTAACCCAGAAATAGTGCTTCAGGTTAAGAACTTTGCTTCAGGGTGAGAACAGAAAATGCGCAGTGGCAGCGGGAGGCCCCATTAGCTAAAGTGGTGCTTCAGGTTAAGAACAGTTTCAGGTTAAGTACGGACCTCCGGAACGAATTAAGTACTTAACCTGAGATACCACTGTATATAAATGTGTTTATAGTGTTAAAAAAATGGGGGGGGGGGAGAAAAAAAAAGGAAAAAGAGAATTAGTGGGCAAAAGACCTCAGGAGGGCCAAGAGGGGGTGAACAACTCAGGGAAGATCTACCTTGGTGTAAGGCGCGTTCCTTCACAAGTTACCTTCAATGAGTGTGCATTGTGTGCATCTTCGTGCACAATGTTCACCAGAGCGCAGGATCTGTGTGTCCGTTTACACCGCAGCCGAGCTGCATAAATCGACAATGTTGCACTTCTCTTTGTACTTCTCTGGATTTTGGGGTGCTGTTCTCTGATCAAGTAGCGTGAGGGGAAGCGCAGGTTAGGGAGCGGCCGTCTCAAACCTCCCCCGGCGAGCTCGTTGGCAAAACGGGGGTGCGACCCCGGATTTTGTCAAGAGGACACCGTAACCCCGGTGCCCCCCGCTCTGCTTTCTCGCTCGCCCAGGTGGCCATCGACTTCACAGCCTCCAACGGAGACCCGCGGAGCGAACACTCCCTGCACTTCATCAACCCCAAGGAGCCCAACGAATACCTGAAGACCTTGTCTTCCGTGGGCGAGATCTGCCAGGACTATGACAGGTACCGTTTGCGCTCTGCACGCGGGCAGGAAGGTATGCCGCTCGTTCCTCAGTGACCCAGATTTTTCTCTTCCAGCGACAAGCAGTTCCCGGCATTTGGCTTTGGCGCACGGATTCCTCCAGACTTTGAGGTAAACCCCGGGGGATTCTGGGATCAGATTAGACGGGGCTGGCGGTGAGTCATCCATCCTCTTCTGTTCTCCCTCGGCGACCTTTTCCTCCTCCTTTGTCTTTTCCTAGGTGTCTCACGATTTCGCCATCAACTTTGAGCCGGACAACCCGGAATGTGAAAGTACGAAGCTCAGATGCATTTAGGAAAGGCGGATGATTTATAGCCTTTCTCAACAGGGGGATATTTTAGGGCAGAGGTTGAGATTGAAAACCTGGGGCTTTTGAGGGATCGGGGTGTGGGAAGGAATGGATTGACACTGGAGAGGAAGAAAGCTCCAGAGGCCTTAAGAAATAAAACAGGGATGTTCCCAGGTCCTTTGTGGGGAGTCTTTTAAACATAGCACGTGTACAGAGCCTCTGTTGCAAAGACTTGGGCGAGGATAGGCCATCGTTTTCCAACCTGACACCCGCCCATGATCTGACATGGTTGCCCCAGCCACTGTGGGCGGCTTCCAACGTATATAAAAAACATAATTAAACATTAAAAGAAACTTCCCTCTACAGAGCTGCCTTCAGATGTCTTCTAAAGGTTGCATAGTTACATATCTCCTTGGCTCGGGGGTCAGATAACTGCCTATAATTTTCTCCAGTGAAAATAGGGACGTCATAACGAAAAGCGGGACATTCTAGGATCGATCAGAAACTGGGACGGCTTCTGTAAATCCAGACTGTCCTTGGAAAATAGGGGCACTTGGAGGGTCTGGGACCTGCGCCAAATGCATAATGCGCCTGGTGCCTAGTTAATTTTGAACACTGTTTGGCCACTATGAGAAAAGGATTCTGGAATAGGTGATCCAGCAGGCTGTTCTCACATTCGTGGTATAGAAGCATTTCTGTCACCTGAGCTCCTTGATTTCCTGTCCATTCGTCCCCCACAGGAATCGCTGGCGTGATTGAGGCCTACAAACGCTGCCTGCCCCAGATCCAGCTCTATGGCCCAACCAACGTCGCCCCCATCATCAACAAGGTGGCAGCTCCTGCAGCTGAGGAGGAGAAAACAGGGCTGCCAACGGTACGTGAAGATGCGCCGGGGGGCATTGGGGCAGGAATATTTGGATGCGGGCGGCGCTGTGGTCTAAACCACTGAGCCTCTTGGGCTTGCCAATCAGAAGGTCGGCAGTTCGAATCCCTGTGACGGGGTGAGCTCCTGTTGCTCTGTCCCAGCTCCTGCCAACCTAGCAGTTCGAAAGCATGCCAGTGCAAGTAGATAAATAGATACCTCTGAGGCAGGAAGGTAAACGGCGTTTCCGTGCGCTCTGGTTTCCGTCACAGTGTCCCATTGTGCCAGAGGCGGTTTAGTCCTGCTGGCCACACAACCTGGAAAGCAGTCTGTGGACAAACGCCGGCTCCCTTGGCCTGAAAGTGAGATGAGTGCCACAACCCCATAGACACCTTTGACTGGACTTAACCGTCCAGGGGTCCTTTACCTTTACCTTTACAGTGGTACCTCAGGTTACAGACGCTTCAGGTTACAGACGCTTCAGGTTACAGACGCTTCAGGTTACATATTCTTCTAACCCAGAAATAGTACCTCGGGTTAAGAACTTTGCTTCAGGATGAGAACAGAAATGGTGCAGCGGTGGTATGGTGGCAGCGGAAGGCCCCATTAGCTAAAGTGGTACCTCAGGTTAAGAACACTTTCAGGTTAAGAACGGACCTCCGGAACGAATTAAGTTCTTAACCTGAGGTACCACTGTATTTGGAGCAGAGGGAAGTGGCTCAGCCAGGGGAGGCTCTGGCTGAGTTTGGGCCTGGGTCCAACCCCGTCGCCTCTCTCTCTCCGCAGAAGTACCGTGTGCTGCTGATTCTGACAGACGGCGTGGTGAGCGACATGCCTGAGGCGTGTGACGCCGTGGTCCGGGCCTCCCGCCTTCCCCTCTCCATCATCATCGTGGGCATTGGCAACGCTGACTTCTCCGACATGCGAGAGCTCAATGGGGACCGCGGGATGCTGGAGTCCGACGAGGGCCGGGCCGTCCGCGACATTGTCCAGTTTGTGCCACTCCGTGAATTCAAGAAGGTGAGGGAGCCTCCCTGGAGACTTCAGGACGCAGATATAAAAAGAGGTCCTTCTTTGCGTGGTTAGACTATGGAACTAGCTGCCAAAAGAGGCAGTGACAGCCACCAACCTAGATAGCTTTTTTTATATATATAATATTTTTTATTACTTTTAACATATACATTATAAAATGTACCAGAAAACTTATCACTTATACAATCTTTTTAGACTTCCATCAGCACCTCTGATGATCCGCCGTTTTAACCACTTCTTATGCATTTCACAGCGGGTGGCGCTGTGGGTTAAGCCACAGAGCTAGGGCTTGCTGATCAGAAGGTTGGTGGTTCGAATCCCTGCGACAGGGTGAGCTCGCGTTGCTCGGTCCCTGCTCCTGCCAACCTAGCAGTTCGAAAGCACGTCAAAGTGCAAGTAGATAAATAGGTACCGCTCTGGCGGGAACGTTAACGGCGTTTCCGTGTGCTGCTCTGGTTCGCCAGAAGCGGCTTAGTCATGCTGGCCACGTGACCCGGAAGCTGTACACCAGCTCCCTCGGCCAGTAAAGCGAGATGAGCGCTGCAACCCCAGAGTTGTTCGCGACTGGACTTATCTGTCAGGGATCCTTTAACTTTACCTGCCTGCCAGGGCCCAGTGGGAGTGTCTCTCGCAGAGTTCTCTGTAGCAAACTTGCAGGAAAACTCTGTGAGCTTCAGCCCCTGTCGTGTGCCCTATCTAGCAAGGCACAGACTGCTGGTTTGACTGCATTTTTAAATATATTTTTCCCTTGTCTAGGCTCCACCCAACGCTCTGGCCAAGTGTGTTCTGGCTGAGGTACCCAAACAGGTGGTGGAATACTATGGCAGCAAAGGCATCGCCCCGGCAACACAGAGGTCCTCTTCCCCTCTGCCCCAGTGAGACCCACGCACACCTTTCCCCCCATGGGCATGGTCTGTCCAGCACCTTAATGTGAGTTTCCCGAAAGGGGGTGTGCGGGGGCAGGAAGCAGATGGAGATAACGGAGACATGGGAAAGATGGAGATTGATGGGAGAGTGGGAGGGTGTTGACAGGAGGAAGAAGACGACGGAAGCTTTGATCCACAGATGGGCTGAGAGATGAGATTCGGTGAAAATGACAAAATGGGCCCAAGCGCTTGAATTTCAACAAGCGGGGGGGGCGGGTGGTGGTGGATGGGTCCTGGGTTCAAATCCCCCCCTATAGCCAGGAACACTACCTCGCAGGCTTGCAGTGAGTGGAGAATGAGGCAGCAACTACACAAGCTCATTTATTTTATTTATTACATTTATATTACATTTATATTATAAGGGACGCGGGTGGCGCTGTGGTCTAAACCACAGAGCCTAGGGTTTGCTGATCAGAAGGTCGGCGGTTCGAATCCCCACGACGGGGTGAGCTCCTGTTGCTCGGTCCCTGCTCCTGCCAACCTAGCAGTTCGAAAGCACGTCAAAGTGCAAGTAGATAAATAGGTACCGCTCCGGCGGGAAGGTAAACGGCGTTTCTGTGCGCTGCTCTGGTTCGCCAGAAGCGGCTTAGTCCTGCTGGCCACGTGACCCGGAAGCAGTACCCCGGCTCCCTCGGCCAGTAAAGCGAGATGAGCGCCGCAACCCCAGAGTCGGCCGCGACTGGACCTAACAGTCAGGGGTCCCTTTGCCTTTACCTTTACGATCTTTTCCAAGGATCTTGAGGTCATGTACATGGTTTTCCTCCTCCGCATTTCAGCCCCACAACAACCCTGTGAGGTAGGTCAGGCTAAAGAGACGGTGACTGGCCCAAGGCCACACCCAGTGAGCGTTGTGGCCATAGCTGTCAACTTTTCCCCTTTCTTGCGAGGAATCCTATTCGGAATAAGGGAATTTCCCTTAAAAAAGGGGAAACGTTGACAGCTATGATTGTGGCTGAGTGGAGATTTGAACCCGTTACTCGATCCGTTACACCGCGCCGGCTCTCCTTTGAGGAAGGGTGGGAGATCAGCCTGACCAATCAAAACCAGAGGGTCTTTGGGGAGGCGGTGACAAAATGGCAGGTATGTCCCAAGATGGCTGCCTTTGAATTGGGGACCGCTATCAGTTGGCGGACGACTGGAACGCCAGACGGGAGGCGAGTTCTAGAGATGGGTGGGCTGTTTCGTCATCCCCTGTTTCTTCTTGCGTACATGATGCCTCTGATGCAAGCAATGTGCCGTCCTGCAGCAATCATGGCCACTGGTGGAAGTGGGGCAGCGTATTTTCCCACAATGCCTCAGAACGAAGCGCTGGGGAGGGGGTGCAAAATGGTGTCCGCAGGCAGGAGGGCACCCATGGAAAAGGGGGCCTACTGTATGTCCCCTCCAGCTGAAGACTCCCTGAAACCTGGACCTGCCCCCTGGAGGGGGTAGCTATAACGTGGGCCCCCTTTTTTGAGACATGCGCGCAGACATGCGCTCACCTGGGCTGACAGATTCTCTCCTTTCTTCCCCTCCTCTCTTTCTCCGCGCAGGTGCCTGTTTCTCTTTCCCCACACCTTTGTCTTCCAGCCCTCGGTCCTGTAGGCGCCCTCCCACCCTCCCCTCTGCCTCTTCTGGTGGGGAAGAGAGAGAAAGAGAGAAAGAGAGAGAGAGAGCGCGCACTTCGCCTCGCCTTGGGCCTCCACCCACGACTCAGGACGGCAGCGGGAACTGCATTCCATCCAGACGTTCCCAGCTGTTCCCCATCTTCCTCCCGCCCCCTCACAGATCCTCACCCCAGATAAGCCTGCGACTGTGACTCCCATCTCCTTTAATAAACCAGCTCTCTTGAACACAGCTTTGTTGTTGTTTAGTTGTTTAGTCGTGTCCGACTCTTCGTGGCCCCTGGACCAGAGCACGCCAGGCCCTCCTGTCTTCCACTGCCTCCCGCAGTTTGGACAAACTCATGCTGGTAGCTTCAAGAACACTGTCCCACCATCTCGTCCTCCGTCGTCCCCTTCTCCTTGGGCCCTCCATCTTTCCCAACATCAGGATCTCTTCCAGGGAGTCTTCTCTGCTCATGAGGTGGCCAAAGTATTGGAGCCTCAGCTTCACTAGCTTGTCTCCCCCCAAAAAACTGGGCTCTCTTCTTTCCCCCTCCTTCTTCTCTCCTCCTCTAATCTCTCGCGAAAGTCTAGAAAAAAGGGAGACGGTCGGCGCCTGTTTTTGCAGCGGTGAACATTCATATTTTTTTTATTGATTAGAATCATTCGTCGGCTTTCTTTCCTTCTTGCAAAAAGTGAACTCAAAGGCAATTACAGCCAGCAGCTCTCCTTCAGTGGAGATCTTTAAACAGGTCAGGGATTCCTTAGCCGTGATTCCTGCATTGTGACAGGTTCAGCTAATAATAATAATAATAATAATAATATTTATACCCCCGCCCATCTGGCTTGGGTTTCCCCAGCCACTCCAGGCGGCTCTCAACAGAAGACTAGAAACAGAATAAAACTTCAAACATTAGATGACCCTCAAGGGTCCCTGATTCTGCGAAATAATGCATGCAACATAAAACGAAAACAGAGTGAAATTTAATTTAGTGGAGAGATTATTGATATTGGCCAGCGAATGTTGGCAATCCCATTTCCTGGCATTTGGCAGGAGCGCATGCCTTTGTTCCGGAGGCAGGCAGTGATCTCAGAGGAGATGTGCTAAGCAAACCATATTGGGATCTGGACCCAGACGGGAGATGGGGGGCTGGGAGGGAGAGAGAGCACCCTATAGGCACCATCAGGGGTTGTAAATAGGGGAAATAAACCTATTAAGTGGTAGAAACAATGGCTTAGCATTAGTTAATTAGATTCTTGTGCTGCAGGACACAGGAGGAAAACTCTTTTCTCACTCTCTCTTGCACCACGTCTCGTTTTATAAACTGCTGATCCTGGCCGGACTCAGCCAGCCCCTGGAAATGTGTGAAGGGTGCCTCTGAGCATGCACAGAGTGCCTTAGCCAGACCTCTAAACAAGGAAGCACGGCCAATCTGTTCCCCGTGGCCCATCAAAGGACACAGCGGCTTACGGCTCAGGCTGGAGCCCTGGCTGCTGAAATTGCCCTCTGGCTTTGAACAGCTGCGCAGCAGACAGAAATTCAACAGAGAGCGCTTCGCCCGGGGTGAGCTGAGGCCTATGGCAAGAAAGTAAACATTGGGCCAGCACTGTGTCTTTCGGAGCCTCGGTTTCCTGTATGCCATAAAGAATTTATGCCTGCTTTTTCATATTTCCTCCCCCGAGAGCCATGATGGAGCGTGCATTAGAAGATGCTAAGTTCGCTTGCATAAAAATCCAGAAATGGGGCGAGGAGTGGATGCCTGCAACCTCCTTTGCTAAGTTGCTTCTCCCTTGATAAGCAGCAATTCTCTGCAAAGTGAGGGGCCCGGAAAACACTTGCCTTTACTTATTTATGCAGAGCGCCCAACTGCATATGCGGCTCTTGGAGCTGGCTGTTTTGAGCGCAGTCACGCAATGCTGATAAATGGAGGAGGTTGGCTGCAGAACTTTCCCAGTGATAGCCCGGGGCCACAATAATCTGGGTGGGAGATTCCCTAGGATAGAATTGCGGGGGAGAAATTGGATTAAGTTCACATTTGAAGGTGAACCTATCTATTTCACACTCTCTGCTTGCTCCGTGGGGTAGGACCTAAACCAACGGATTCAAATTCCATGAAGGAAGATTCCGACTGTACATTAGAAAGAATTTTCCAGTGGAAAGAGCCATTTGAAAGTGGAACAGACCCCCTCAGAAAAGTGGGGGGCTCTCTCTCCATAGAGGTTTTTAAACAGATGTTAGATGACCATACGTCAGGAATTCTTTAGCTATGCACTGCAGGGGGTTGGACTAGATTATTTTTTGGGGGGGGCGTCCCTTCCAACCCCACCCTTCTATGGCTCTGCGAAACCACCCGAGAACCAAACCACAACCGTCTTTTGACCTTTGCACTTCTCTGAATTTTGCAATGCGTTTCTTCAACGTGTGCAAAAATGCTCCCAAATGCCACAAACCCGGAAGTGAGTGTTCCAGTCTGTGAATGTTTTTCGGAAGCCGAACGTCCGACGCAACTTCCTCGACTTCCAATTGAGTGCAGGAAGCTCCTGCAGCCAATCGGAAGCCGCGCCTTGGCTTTCGAACCGTTTTGGGAGTCGGACGGATTATGTTTGAGAACCAAGGTACCACTGTACTAGTGAAAACGCACTGCATTCATGGAAATCGCTTTGCAAAAATGCACGTGTTATGGACAATAGCATGCAAACACACATCTAAGATCCTGATGGATTTTCACAAGGACTTTTTAAGAATACACCTTGCAAACCGAGGTGGAGGACTCAAGAATGGCAAAGTGAGAAATTGAAAGAAACTGAAATTGTCAGGTTCATCGTTCCCAATGCTGGGATGGAGGGGGGCGGTGAAAGGGGGCAACTCTAAGGAACTGTTTGATCTTCCATCAACTAAAATTGCCCCCTGGCAATGTCTGAACAAGAAGGTCTTATCCTGCCAGCGGATAAAGAGGGAGCCAGTCTAACCTCTCTTGAGGGAGAATTCCACAATCTGGGGGCCACTGTAGAAAAGGCCCTCTCTCATGTCACACACATAAAAGAGTAAAAAAAAATATGTATTCCAGTAAAATCAACAGGCTTGAAAAACAAGGAGGCATGATGATATTATCAGGATATGGATATAGGCAACAGAGTAAGAACAATCATATGTAATAAAAGATCGCATAAGCAGAAAAGGTTTCAGCAGATGTCAAAGACTGGACAGCAGAGGCAGGGAGGTTCAGAGGTGCTGCCAAACTAAAAGACTGGTTCCTTGCAGGTGATATGGCGCTTGTAAAAGTGTCTGTTCCGCTGATCAAAGTGGTCGACAAGGCATGTTCAAATGTGGCAGCTAGACTGGTGACTGGGAGCGGCCGCCAGGACCATGTAACACTGGTCCTAAGAGACCTGCATTGGCTCCCAGTACGTTTCCAAGCACAATTCAACGTTTTGGTGCTGACCTTTAAAGCCCTAAACGGCCTCAAAGGCTCAGTATACCTGAAGGAGCGTCTCCACCCCCATCGTTCAGCCCAGACACTGAGGTCCAGCTCCGAGGGCCTTCTGGCAGTTCCCTCATTGCGAGAAGCGAAGTTACAGGGAACCAGGCAGAGGGCCTTTTTGGTGGTGGCACCCACCCTGTGGAACGCCCTCCCATCAGATGTCAAGGAAATAATCCACTATCCTACTTTTAAAAGACATCTGAAGGCAGCCCTGTTTAGGGAAGTTTTTAATGTTTAATGCTGTATTTTAATATTCGAATGGGAGCTGCCCAGTGTGGCTGGGGAAACCCAGCCAGATGGGTGGGGTAGAATAAATTGTTATTATTATTATTATTTGTTGAAGTATACTTGTCAAAGTATTAATCAAAATGGCATTACCTCTGAGCATGTGCAGAGTGAGGCCTCCTCACCATGCAACGGCCACAACCAGCACCAGCTGGGAATTAATTTATTTAAAAGGAGGCAAAGACGACATTTGCTTTCTTCTTCCGAGGCCCTGTTTCCCAAGCTGGGCCGTGATGAGTCTCCTGGCATGGCTTCCTTCCATTGCGGTGTTCCCTCGTCTTTCATTTGTGGTAACCTCTGAGAAACCCTATTAATCTGGTGGTGATATGTAGTTGTTCTCCTGGCGCTGAGGCTGTTTCGGGAATGGAAGCCGGCCGTGGAATGGTTTCTGAATACATCAGGTCCTGTTACTTAAAAAGAACCCGCTGGGTTGAATCCATAATCCGAGTAGACCCAATGAAACTAATGGATTTAAGTTTGTCATGTCCATCCAGGCTAAGTATAGCTAACATATGACCCATTACAATGGGGCAGTTCTACACCATCCATTCAAAGCACATTAAAGGTAAAGGTAAAGGGACCCCTGACCGTTAGGTCCAGTCGTGGCCGACTCTGGGGTTGCGGCACTCATCTCGCTTTATTGGCCGAGGGAGCCGGCGTACAGCTTCCGGGTCATGTGGCCAGCATGACTACGCCGCTTCTGGCAAACCAGAGCAGCGCACGGAAATGCCGTTTCCCTACCTGCCGGAGTGGTACCTATTTATCTACTTGCACTTTGATGTGCTTTCGAACTGCTAGGTGGGCATATGTTAAGGATACTGCAAATTGTGGTTCTGTGGGTGGAAAACTACAGTTCCCAGCATTCTTTGGGGGAAACAAAATGCTTTATGCATGCATCGGGTGTGCTTTAAACTGCTGGTGTTGACCCCTTTCCCCAACCTTAAGCATTTATGCACAGCAGCCACCCTACTTACTCAGAAGTACCCTTCGCACATGCTCAGAAGCAGTCTTTGCTGTTTAGCAAACTGCAGGTTTGGGCCATGTACACCTTCTGTAGGTGCCATATCCACTCCAGCTCTGAAATCTGGCAGGTGCTGACTCGAGCCAGCTCACAGATACAAGGCAGCAGGAGCGGTTTGCTCTGCAGACGCTTTCTCGTGATGTGGAGCGCACGGGCAGATTGGATTTGCTGTTGTGCTGAGTGCGCTGCAAGAACCGGCCGCCTCAGCCAAAT